TGTTTACATGCTATACTATAGTCTTATAAAGACTCCTATAGTTAATATATACTTAATACTCTTTAGTCCTTAGATAATACTAATACGCCTTACTAAGATGACTTAAATTACCTTCTTAAATAATAGGTAGTTATATATAAGGCTTAAGCTATATATATAGTATACCTAGTTTAGGTATTCTAATACCTCCCTTAGGTAATAAAAGAGTAGGATAGGGATAATACCTAGAATAATCTTCTATATCTATTATAAATTATTAAGTAGCTAATATGTAGGCTTTCACCTAAAGGCTATCTACTTAGTTAGATATATGTAAAATTAAAAGAACTTAATTAAAATTAAGTAGAGAAAAGATGAAGTTAAGTAAAGTCTTATTAATTATTATAAATATAGAAGATGCTATATACTCTACTATCTTCTATATGTATTTATATAAGAAGTAAAATAAGAAGTAGAATAAGAACTAAACTCTTTCTTTACTACGCGAATTACTACTTTAGTTATATTATTATAATAGATAAAAAATTAGTCTTCTTATTATCGCACGAAGTCTTATTAGCTATTAAGTAGGCTATATATCCTTAGAAGTATTTATTATCTATTAGTACTACTAGCTTATATAGCTTAGTTATAATTAGCTACGGCTAGTTAAGTGACTTTAGCTTATTAAGTAATCGCGTAATAGTATAGTTATAATATGCTTACATTACTAGTATCTAATAGTTATTACTACGCGATAGCTATTATAACATATATACTCCCTCTACTTAGTATATAAGATTAAGACTATCTAATTAGACTAGTTCCTAGGCATTAGGATTACTAAGGATAGTAATTACCTCTAGCTAGACTAAGGGCTATATACGCATTAACTCCTTAAATACTATAGCCTAGATAACTATAAACCCGCGAAATAACTACTTAAATAATACCTTAAACTAGTTAATTAAGATAGGGAGGTTCTAGCTACTATACTCTATAAGTATAACTCTATTATTAGTAGTTTATAGTATCTAGCTAATTAAATAAGGCTAGATATTACTTATACTATAAACTACCTAGTATAGTTTCTAGCCTAGCTAGTAGAGGAGTACTTAGCTATAGCTAAGTATATTTTAAGATATATAGTACTTAACCCTAAGAAAGGTATATAATATACCTAAAAAGAAAAGAGACTAGTTATACTAGAGGCTTACTTAGATACTAACTTTACTAAGAATCTATATATAAGTAGGTCTATGTTAGGCATGCTAATTTATCTTAGAGATAGGCCTATCTACTAGAAATCTTACTTATAGAAGGAGGTTATCTATTTATCTACTAAGGCTAAGTACCTAGCTCTTACTAAAGCCTATAGGTAACTATAGTAGGTTAAATCCCTACTTAAAGAGCTCTACCTCTAAGACTAAGTTAAGGGGTCTATATAGACTACTATATATATTAATAATTAAGTAGTAATTACTCTAGCTAATAACTATAATAACTACTAATAATTAAAGCATGTTACCCTATATAACTATTATTATTATAAGTAGGCGTTAACTAAATAAATTAAGCTAGTCTATATTTACTCTAAGGACTAGTTAGCTAATACTCTTACTAAACTAAAATTACCTATTTAGATTAGGTAATATTAGTCTACTCTATAGTTATCTACTTATTTACTCTTATAACTCTTATTTATTTACTTAACTAACTATCCTTATTTATTTAAACCCCTTCTTTATTTTAAGTTATTTACTAAGAACTAGTACTACTAGAAGTACTTATTATACCTTTATCTAACTATCCTTTACCTACTCTTCTTTAATACTATTCTTACTACTTATACTATAGTAAGTTATACTATTAATAACATTACTATTACTATCTTCTTTACGCTTAAGTTACTAGTAATAAGGGACTAGGACCTTACTAATAAGTAGTAAGGTTTTACCTTTAGATAATAGCTTATCTAGTAATAGACTAGACTAATTAAGGTCTATTTCTAAGGAAATAACTAGATAAAGAACTAAGTTACTAATATATACTAGTTTATATTTAGGGCGTTTTATTACCTCTACTAGTAAGGACTAATATCCTCTATAACTACTTATAATCTTTAAGGGCTATTCTATCTTATTATACTAAGTTAACTATACTATATTAGTTACTAGTTTATAATTATAAGCTTTATAGACGTAGCTTATCTAATATACTACTTATCTAAAAGAGTAGTATAACTACTATAACCCTATATTAGCTATCTTACTAGTAATTACCTATTTTACCTCTATAAATAACTCTATAATGCTAAAAATATTCTATATATTAACTACCTATATTACTAATATAACTATAGTAGTTAGACCTATACTAAGGTACTAGATATTATAGAGTTAAGGTCTTAGATTAATACTAATAGTATTATAGAAGAAGACTAGTTAGTAGGATAATATAATATATTTATATTACCTAAACTCTTTAAGTACCTCCTAGATCCTAATAATAATTCTAAAACTAATAATTAAGATAGTTATTACTATTAGGGGGAGTGTTATACTATAGGCTAGGTATTAGTAGTAGATAATCTAATATCTAGCTATATTAGCTTTAGGAACATCTAAGTATATAATAGGTAATTAGTTAGGCATTACTTACCTAATCTAATCTAGCTAGTATGACTAGGATTAGGATTATATATTAGCAGCAGTTAGTGAGTCAGATTCAATGGATTATTCGTCGTTGCCAAGATTACAACATGTGCCGTTCTCGTCACACCGCCCGCCAAGACGTCCGCTCACCAACCAGTCGTGGCCGACCTCCATCAACGTCGTCATTCCATTTCGACATCACCCATCAGCAAAAAGTGCCCTCAACCACTCCGTTCGCTCGCAGAATCGTCCGGCGCTGTGAGCTTCTACCGCCTCTACCACTCAATCGCGACCGTTCCTGCCTCGACCGACGACCGCCGCTGTACCCCTCATACCGTACTCGACCGCCATAATGAAGCCCGTCGTTTCTGCTCTGAATGCATGGACATGGTACGCGCCAGCACCCCGACCGATAGCTCTCGCTGTCCCCATACCGCAGTCTTTCTGCTTGGAGGAGTGTCTGTGGAGCTTTCGCGCATGACTGCTTGAAGCTTCTCTACCGTTGGATTCCGCTAACGCCACGCTTCAGCATCGTCGTGTCCATCTTCGCAATCGTAATCCTATCCGTCATCGGCTCGCTGTTCAAGGTACGCCTGTCGTGACCTTTTTGTCACTCCGGATTATTCTCCCTCGCTCTGGCCCCCGCTTTACAACGCGCTTCGTTGAATCACCGCACCTCCGCATCATCACACCGATCGTCAACTACGTTTGCTGCACCAAACGGATTCGCTAACATGGGGATATCTTAGACGAACAACCACGTCATGATGGGCTCAACGGAAGATCCAGAGAACGGCCCCGTCGTCGCCGCCTCGGTATTTGGTGCGGTAGCCGTCTACGGCGTACGTCCTCAGCCTCCCATGTCGCTCTTCCCCGCGCCTACAAGTGTGCTAACAGTCCTCCGTTCACAGGTCTTCCTCGTCTTCTGCGCCGGCCAAGCATATTTGCATGTGCGCGAGAGCCGTCGCGGCGCCATTGCGCTTTCCTAAACGCACTTCCTCTCCTTGCTTGAAAGCACAGTACATGCATGTCTATTACTTGACGCGAATCCCGAGCGCTGCAGCTTTTGCTGCCTTAGAGCGTAGTCTCGTGGGGATGTTGTTCGTCGTGGAGCGGCGGTGGAGGATCGACGCGAATATGCTTGCCCGGCCGGAGCCTAGACACGTCCTGGACACGTCTAGTGAACGACGAGACCAACCTCAGTTCAGCGGGGGCCGTGATGGACTAGTCTTGTGCTCCTGATTTGTCCGGCGACGCCCTCTTGCGCATTCGCCTTGCCACGTTCCTTCCGCCTCGCCGGGTTTGCATGTGGACTGACTAGGTTAGAGACGGCCCACTCAAAAACGTCTTCATGGTTCGGGGCACCCCCCGCTGCCTTTCCCTTCTCATTGTCCATTTTTGCTATGTCGTCGATGGCTTGTCGGTCTGCTCTTTGGTTTCCCTGTACAGGTACGTTTTAACGTCGGCGTTTGTGGGCGCGTCAGGGTCGGATGGTTGGTCGTCTATCTTTACATAGTCTGATTCTTTGAGTAACCCATTCCCTCTGCGAATTGATTACTGGCGAGCCTAGTTTGTGTTGCTACGTGATGCTGTCCGTGATGATGTGTCAGATTGACTTCCCGGCTGAATTGGCGGAGTGGAAGAGGTGGCATATCTGGCCCACAAATCGGTCTCTGAGTGACGCTACACCTGAGGCGATGTGTCATGGTTGTCCTTCTCAACAAATGCTAACATCCACAAGCGTGTTGCCGTAGAGATGCAAGGTTGTGATCAATGACTGTAGAAGTGTTGCTCTTCGCCTCCCAGCAACTCAAGCAAAGCAAGCGATTATCACCCTTTCTGAAAAGCCAGCCATTCATTCGCCATAGATCTGAAGGCCGTGGATCTCTGTCGCCGCTCGTGGGCAGTGTGCTTGCGCTCTGCGGGTAAGAGATGCTGCTCAGTGCGATTGATTTGACTTCTGCCGGAGTTGTTGACTTGCTCCGTCAAGCTTGATCTTATGTCGCTCATCCAGTCGCTACGACTGCCTTACTACGTACGCAGAAGAAGAAGCTCAGTCTATTTGACCTACGCGGATCAAGTGCTAATTGAAGCGTTCGTTGGGTTGGCCGTTCGCTTGCCAGTCCACAATTTACGGATTTGGGTTTCACATCGCAAGACCAGCACCTTCCTACCGCTCATTCGACGACGTGGAAGTAATTGTGCCTCGCTCCTTCCCTGATTTCCCCGTCCATGCCAGAAGACCGCACGCCGTCCCTGAATTCCCCCCCCCCCCCCCCTGAGCCCCTGAACCCCCCTAAAACATCACTACCACCTCCCCAACTAGACTACAACCATTCAGGGTTGGTCGAAAAGTGCAAAAAGATCTGCGTCGGCCGGGAATCGAACCCGGGGCTCATCGAAAGTGCTGTAGGACATGGCAACGATGAATTTTACCACTAAACCACCAACGCATTGCAAAGATCATAGACGAGGATCAATGCGCCAGCCCGGAATCGAACCGGGGGCTGATCGAATCATGTGATGGCAACGATCAATTTTACCACTAAACCACTGGCGCGTACATGAACTTTCATTTTCGTTGTGCGCATTATAATTCCACAACTTACCGGAGCAGAATTGAACTGGTCTAGCAACTTGTATAGGGCTACAATTTTGCGGCTAAAATTCGTCTTAGATGTTTTAGAAGCTATTTAAAACTAAAGTCCTTTATTAGATATATATTAAGTACTTATAGTACTATATTATGTAAAAGTAAAGTTTACTAGGACTACTAAGACCTAGGCTAAATTAATATTATCTATTATTCCTCTCTATTTCCTCCTATTTTTTTAAAATCTAACTTTAGTTACTTTAGCTAAGAACTATATATTATCTACTCTATACTCTACCTTATACTTATAGCTAAGATAATAGAATGAGTTTTATAGTAATAGCTACTTATTACTAATATATATACTTATTATACTACTCTCTCTACTATAGATTCTTCTCCTTATTTCCTAGTATTAATTAATTAATTAATTAATTAATTATTTTATATCTTACTAGAGCTATAGGCTATCTAAGATAGAGCTATCTATAGGGGATCCTATATATATTTATAAGGTAAGTAGGGATACCTAGCTAAAGAATCTTATATAATAAGGGGATTCTTAGTATAATGTTAGTATAGGGTAGGTATAGATAGATAGTTTATTTAGGCTCTTTTTAGGTAAGGGGGGGCTAAGGACTAGCCTTCCTACTATTATCTAAGTAGATAGGTAGTATAGAGTAAGAGTAAGGAAAGAAAGGGGGATAGGAAGAAGGTATATATAGAAAAGTAAATATAGTATAGGGTAGTAGGTAAGGTAGATTATATATATACTCTACTATAGTATTCTAGTACTATTCCTAATAGTACTATTCTTAGTTAGCATTATATTATTATGAATTATTAAGTAGCTAATATGTAGGCTTTTACCTAAAGGCTATCTACTTAGTTAGATATATATAAAATTAAAAGAACTTAATTAAAATTAAGTAGAGAAGAGATGAAGTTAAGTAAAGTCTTATTAATTATTATAAATATAGAAGATACTATATACTCTACTATCTTCTATATGTATTTATATAAGAAGTAAAATAAGAAGTAGAATAAGAACTAAACTCTTTCTTTACTATATAAATTACTACTTTAGTTATATTATTATAATAGATAAAAAATTAATCTTCTTATTATTACGCGAAGTCTTATTAGCTATTAAGTAGGCTATATATCCTTAGAAGTATTTATTATCTATTAGTACTACTAGCTTACGCGGCTTAGTTATAATTAGCTATAGCTAGTTAAGTAACTTTAGCTTATTAAGTAATCGCGTAATAGTATAGTTATAATATACTTATATTACTAGCATCTAATAGTTATTACTATATAATAGCTATTATAATATTCCCCTCCTAATAGGAAGCCTAAGTTAGCTTATTAGGTACTTATATAGATAACTAACTAGTATTATCTTAGTAAGGGTGTAAAGTATAGAACTACTAGGTATATCTTATTATTAGGGTTATAGTTTAACTAACCTTCTTTACTATAACCCTTTCTATAATAACTAATCTTCCTTACTATAACTCTTTCTATAATAATAATAACCTTACCCCTATTATTATATCTTCCCTCTCTTACTTAAGTAATAATAGTAAGTTATTACATTATAGTAAACTTAAAATACTTAACTAATTATCACGTGATAGTATCTAATTAACCTTATTACTTAAAATACCTTTAAGCTAATATAATGCCTTAAGAGGATGCTAAGGCTACTTAGGATTATTATATAATATATTACGCGTAATTAGTAGATTATTTATATATCTAGAGTTTTAAAAAGGTAAAGTAAAGCTAACTAGTCTAGGTATAGTACCTAGCTTCTAAGTACTAGTATATATTACTATTCTACCTATAGATTCTTATATAAATGTTATATAAGCTAATATGCCTACTATACTAGCTTTTACCTTCACGTATGTATTCTAGTAGCTATTATACTAACGTGCTATTAAGTACTCCTTTATATAAAGAAGGTAATAATAGTAGTATTATTTATCTAGCTACTTTACCTATAGAATTACTAGTATAACCTCTAGATTAGGACTTAGAGGTAGATACTTCTAATAAGGTTATAATTTTCATCCTATATAAGGCCTTTAAAAAACTTACTAAGGTATATCTAGCTACTTATTAGTTTCATATAATGACTAATAAGTTATAGAAGTTACTTAGAGGTAAGGAAGCTAACTAATATGTAATATATATATTAGGCCTTAGTAACCTTTCTTATCGCGCTATTATTCTAGTTTCTAAGGATTATTTTAACATAGCCTCTACTAAATCTTATAGCTTCTTACGCGATACTTATCTAATCTAATATGTAGGTATTAATTAGGCTACTAGTTATACTAAGTATTAGGATAACCTTTCTACTTATATCTTCTATAGTTACTATAAGTTACTAGGATTCTTATAGGGTTATTACGTAAACTATATCTAGGGTACTAGTAATCTTAACTATACTATAAGTGACCTTATAGGTGCTTATCCCCTAAATTAACATAAAAGGTATAAGGATAAGATATAGTCTAGGGAGTACCTTAGTCTTTACTATGCGATAGTTAACTAGGTTAATAACTTTCTCTAGGAGACTATTAAAGATCTAATAAGGCCTAAACTTAAGAAGTTAGTACTAGGTCCTATTAAGGAGGAGGAAGAGGAGTAGAAGGGGTAAAAAATAAGGAATAAAATTAAATTAGGAATATAGAATAACTAAGGATAAATTAGTTTATATAGGTAAGCCTTATTTACTATAGCATTAGAGGACTCTTTTTACTAAGGGATAGGTAGGTTAGTTATTAGTTTACATCTCTTCCTATAATTCTTACTAGAGGAAGGCTCTTTTCTACTTTTCTAGGTTCTTTAGTAGTCTAGGGGTAGAAGGATTAGTAGTATAGAAGTCCTCTACTTTTTAGGGGGCCCTAATAAAAGAACTTACTACATACTACTTATTATCTTAATTATATTCTACCTATTAAACCTAATACTTTAAAGTTCTATAAGTAACCTTACTTATATAGATAAAGTTAACTTCCTATTCTTACTAGTTATTAATAATCTTAGGTTCTAGTTCTATATATCTCTATTATAGCTATAGGGTCTATAGCTACTTTATATAGGTAATTAGTATAAAAAAGGTTTATAACCTTTATGCTTTTTAGAAGATCTAATTTATATAAATAACCTTTTATTCTAGTAACCTTAAATAGTCCTATATTAGGAGCATCTAACTTTAGATTTAGCTAGTCTATTATCTAGCTAGTCTTCTTAATGTAAATAAAGTCTCTAATGTTAAAGTTAGGTATATAATAGTATTTATTAGCTTATTAGTAGTTCTTTTCTTATAATTATTAAATTAATTTATAGGCGTACTTATAGGCCTCTTATCTTCTTTTTTAGAGAGACTAAGCTATAGACTATACTCTACCTTCTAGTAAATTAGTTATAGTTATATAAGTAGTCTAGTTATAATACATGTATAGTAAGAAGCTAAGATCTATTTTAGCTAGTATAAGACCTATAGCCTTATATAGAAGGGTAGCCTAAGCTAGGTCTATTAATAGTAGAAGGTTAGACTAATTATTTTAGTAGTAATTAATAAAGGGTTATAGTTAGCATATAAGAACCTAATTAACTATCTTAGTAATTCTATTTATCTAAGAGTAATAGGCTAAATTAAAGTGTTATTTAATACTAGTTAACTTATATAGCTCCCGCGTGAAGGTTAAAATGAACTAAGGACCTTAATCTAATAGTATACTTTCTAGGTTTCTAAAGATGTAGTAGATGTAATTATAAAAAAGTTAAGATACTCCCTTAGTATTAATTCCCTTTATATAAGGTAAACTAAAGGTTCTTTAGGATAACCGGTCTATAATAATAAGGATATAATTAAATCCCTTTTAGTCTCTTAGTATTTCCTTAAAATCTATAGCTAGGTATTACTAGGGTTAGTTAGGAATTAGTAGGGGATATAGAAGGCTAGGCGTCTTATTAGTAAATTTATAGTTCTAATAGTAGATATAATAGTTTTAGCTATATCTTTTAATTATGTAAGTCTAGCTAGGCTAGTAATAGTATTACTATAATAGCCTTTATATTTTATTAATTCTAGGATAGGTAGTAATGTAAGTAGTATATATTACCTTAATTATTCTTATATGAAGGTTATCCTAGTTAGGAATAACTAATATACTATAGTAAAGAAGTAGTCTATCCTATAACTTCTAATATAATTTATTTTCTAGTTAAAGATAAGCTATTTCTCTCTATAGTTTAAGATCTAGGTTTTCTCTATTCATATAGAGGAGTTTATTAATGAGAATTATTAATAGGGAAATTCCGGCTCCATTATTACTAATAGAACTACCTAGGATATGGGGATAAGGTACTACTCTTATATAGCCTTTACTTTTTCTTTTTAAGTCTTAAGTTACTCTTACTTTCTTATAAGAATATCTATAATAATATTCTTCTTTCCTAGTTAGTAGGTAAACTAGACTTAGTACTTAGTAAGTTATTTAGCCTATCTTACTTATTACGTAGATAGTTAATACTTAGAAGTAAAATGTTCTAATGCCTAATAGTCTATAATTATAAGAAAAGGTTTATAAAGGCCTATAAGTATAGATCTCTATTCCTCTAGTCCTTATATAATAGCTAGGAGTTCTTTATTAGGTATTCTATAGTAGAGTTTAGCATCTAATATTACCTTAGAATAAAAGGATACTAGTTTCTATTTATAATTATCTTAATATTATAAGAGAACTCCTATAACTACTCTATTACTTACATCTATTTCTATATAAGTATCTAGAGTTAGATTATAGTTTACTAGTAGTAATTTACTATATATTAGTT